CCACGCCTTATGTGTGAAAAAATATTCTTTAAAAAATCCACGCCTTACCTTGAAAAAATATTCTTTAAAAAATCCACGCCTTATGTGGACCTTGAAAAAATATTCTTTAAAAAATCCACGCCTTATGTGGACCTTGAAAAAAAATTCTTTAAAAAATCCACGCCTTATGTGGACCTTGAAAAAATATTCTTTAAAAAATGCACGCCTTATGTGGACCTTGAAAAAATATTCTTTAAAAAATCCACGCCTTATGTGGACCTTGAAAAAATATTCTTTAAAAAATCCACGCCTTATGTGGACCTTGAAAAAATATTCTTTAAAAAATCCACGCCTTATGTGGACCTTGAAAAAATATTCTTTAAAAAATCCACGCCTTATGTGGACCTTGAAAAAATATTCTTTAAAAAATCCACGCCTTATGTGGACCTTGAAAAAATATTCTTTAAAAAATCCACGCCTTATGTGGACCTTGAAAAAATATTCTTTAAAAAATCCACGCCTTATGTGGACCTTGAAAAAATATTCTTTAAAAAATCCACGCCTTATGTGGACCTTGAAAAAATATTCTTTAAAAAATCCACGCCTTATGTGGACCTTGAAAAAATATTCTTTAAAAAATCCACGCCTTATGTGGACCTTGAAAAAATATTCTTTAAAAAATCCACGCCTTATGTGGACCTTGAAAAAATATTCTTTAAAAAATCCACGCCTTATGTGGACCTTGAAAAAATATTCTTTAAAAAATCCACGCCTTATGTGGACCTTGAAAAAATATTCTTTAAAAAATCCACGCCTTATGTGGACCTTGAAAAAATATTCTTTAAAAAATCCACGCCTTATGTGGACCTTGAAAAAATATTCTTTAAAAAATCCACGCCTTATGTGGACCTTGAAAAAATATTCTTTAAAAAATCCACGCCTTATGTGGACCTTGAAAAAATATTCTTTAAAAAATCCACGCCTTATGTGGACCTTGAAAAAATATTCTTTAAAAAATCCACGCCTTATGTGGACCTTGAAAAAATATTCTTTAAAAAATCCACGCCTTATGTGGACCTTGAAAAAATATTCTTTAAAAAATAAACGCCTTATGTGGACCTTGAAAAAATATTCTTTAAAAAATCCACGCCTTATGTGGACCTCCAAAAATATTCTTTGAAAAAATCCACGCCTTATGTGGACCTTGAAAAAATATTCTTTGAAAAAAATTCACGTCTTATGTGGACCTCCAAAAATATTTTTTGAAAAAAATCCACGCCTTATATGGACCTTAAAAAATATTCTTTAAAAAAAACCCACGCCTTATGTGGACCTTGAAAAAAAATATTCTTTAAAAAATCCACGCCTTGGATAGGCCTTAAAAAAATATTCTTTTAAAAATCCACGCCTGCATAGGCCTTGAATAAATATTCTTTAAAAAATCCACGCCTAATGAGACCTTGAAAAATTATTCTTTAAGAAATCCACGCCTCTTGCAGACCTTGAAAAAAATGAGGCGTGGATTTTTAAAATAATATTTTTCTATGTTCTATGTGAGACTTCTAATGTGTACCACTTAAAGAATGTTTTCAAAGACTTTACTCGCTATTGACATTTCCTACTGCTAATTGTCCGGATATGTCATGTTGAACGAAATTTCGATACTAGATAAGGTGATGCGGCAGATTATCTTCATTTGGTCCCTTGTTAGTATCATTCCAAAATACCCTACATTTCTTCTTCTAATTTCATTCTTCTCCACTGTTTTAATCGCCGACAAACAAAAATTGGTTGTTTGGCATGATGTAGAAATAGCAGTATCATCATGTCATGATTATACCGATACTAAACTGACACTTTGACATCGACTTAACCCTAAATTGCTTTGGTGTTCCCCTTGTGAACATATTGCCCGGGTGCAATAACAATCTCGGCACATGTGGATGGGGTTTTTGGGTCCAAAACATTTTGTGGAGTCATGCTAAAGTCAACAACATACACACATGTGTGTGTGCTAGGTGCGTGCTAATGTGTGCCTGTGTGTGTTTATAAACGTATCATGTATTTGTGTTAAAATGGTATTAAGGTAAGCTAAAACAATAAACTTGATTTGCTTCAACATCTCCCCACCCATTACCCTTGCTCTTGGCCCAATGATAAACTTTAACTCCCACCTTCGCACACACACACAATGGTGTCTTATTAAGTTTACACACACAGGACCACACATATATGTATGCAATATAAAACGCCATCTGCTAGCCATGTTTATCGAACAGAATTGCTGTGTTGTTCCTGTTGTTGTTGTCGATTTTTGAGGTTCATGGCTACTATTGCCATTGCTGCTGTTGTTTGCCGCTTGTTGTCCTTGTGATGGCGACTACCGCCTGTTTGTCGAATGGCATTAAAGTTTTAATATGTTTGGCTTAAATGTGTATTACGTTTAAATACCTTTTAATTGACATGATTTGTTTTATTTTTCGGAGTCAATGTGTTGTGTTGTTGTACAGAGAGCCAGGACCCTTTTTGACTTTGCTGGTTGGGGAGTAATGAGGATGAGCCGAAGAGATGAATAGACACAGGTCAAACGGTGTTATCAGGGACAACATAAATGCGTGTAAGAGTATTTTAATTTTTGGAGGGGTTTTAATTGAGAAACTTTAATAATTAATAGTTCGAAGTTATTAAGGGGTCTTCGGATTATTTACAACCAAGACGAGTATATAATAAATTTATTAACATTAAATTTTAATTCTATATTAAAATTATAAACGTGACCTACATATTTATTAAAATTATTAGAAATATAATACATTGGTCCTTGAAAAAATATTCTTTAATAAATCCACGCCTCAGAAACACCTTGAAAAATATTCTTTAATAAATCCACGCCTCAGAAACACCTTGAAAAATATTCTTTAATAAATCCACGCCTCAGAAACACCTTGAAAAATATTCTTTAATAAATCCACGCCTCAGAAACACCTTGAAAAATATTCTTTAATAAATCCACGCCTCAGAAACACTCAGATACTCCTTGAAAAAAAATATTCTTTAATAAATCCACTCCTCAGTTGGCCCTTGAAAAATAATCTTTAATAAATCCACGCCTCAGATGGCCCTTGAAAAATAATCTTTAGTAAATCCACGCTTTAAGTACACTTTCGCCCCTATAATTTACCTAACAATTTACCTCTAAATATCTCTCCTAATGGTATTTAATCCACGGCTAAATGTTTTATTACTACTAAATAAATTTCCCAATAGAAAAAAAGCTAACACAAATCCCATATCGTTGTTGTTTTTTTTCATCTTTGTTTCTAGTAAAACCGCAAATGTTCATTTCGAATCAATAATTTCAATAAACGGATTATCCGATACTGTTCACATGAATGAAAACCAACGACCATAGAAATTACAAAAATTGCAACACAAAGATAACCGACACACAAATGAACATAACCAATAAATGAAATCCAACCTAGACAGACGAAAAGACATACAGATGAACGACGAACTCAACATGTCGACAAACCAAGCGATATTCACCAAATACATATGTTGGGTGGGAGAAAAAAACGTAAAATTGTAACACAAACATATGATATGGAGCAATTTTTTGCAGTTTTCGTTGTAATACCCAATTCCGAACCGAACAAAGTTAATTCTCTGCAAATGGACAACACAGGAATGAACCGAAGGCTAGGCAACATTGTGTTCAATGAAAAATTATTCCAACCTACACACACATACGTGCGATTATTTTTTCCAACTTGTTACTGTGCAACACCGCAATCAGAAAAGCAATGAAATGTAAAACACACCAACAACACACAAAAAATCAACAGCAACAACACCTAGATTGTGAAATTTTATTAACGTCACAAAACTCCTGTGATTTTTTTATTTGCACTTTTTTCCATGCGGTCTCAACTGTTGCAAGGAGAGAAAAAAACCATGCAACAGTTACGCCTAGGATAATGCGGACTAGGAACTTTTAAGGTTAGATCTGAGCTATTGCCGTGGATTTAAAAAAAGAATAGGGTAGAACTCAGCTAAAGGCTTGGATTTTCTAAAGAATATTTCTGAAGGACTATCGTGACAATAAGCGTGGATTTGTTAAAGAATATTTCTGAAGGAATATCAGGACAATAAGCGTGGATTTTTTAGCGAATATTTCTGAAGGACTATCGGGACAATAAGCGTGGATTTTTTAAAGAATATTTCTGAAGGACTATCAGGACAATAAGCGTGGATTTTTTAAGAATATTTCTGAAGGACTATCAGGACAATAAGCGTGGATTTTTTAAAGAATATTTCTGAAGGACTATCAGGACAATAAGCGTGGATTTTTTAAAGAATATTTCTAAAATACTATCAGGACAATAAGTGCGGATTTTTTTAAGAATATTTCTAAAAGACTTTCAGGACAATACGCGTGGATTTTTTAAAGAATATTTCTAAAAGGCTATCAGGACAATAAGCGTGGATTTTTTAAAGAATATTTCTAAATGACTATCAGGACAATAAGCGTGGATCTTTTAAAGAATATTTCTAAATGACTATCAGGACAATAAGCGTGGATTTTTTAAAGAATATTTCTGAAGGACTATCAGGACAATAAGCGTGGATTTTTTAAAGAATATTTCTGAAGGACTAACAGGACAATAAGCGTGGATTCTTTAAAGAATATTTCTGAAGGACTAACAGGACAATAAGCGTGGATTCTTTAAAGATGATTTTGGAATGACTATCATGAGAAGTAGCGTGGATTCTTTAAAGATGATTTTGGAATGACTATCAGGACAAGTAGAGTGGATTTCTTAAAGATTATTTTTGAAGGACTATCAGGACAAGAAGCGTGGATTTCTTAAAGATTAATTTTGGTAGGACTATCAGGACAAGAAGCGTGGATTTCTTAAAGATTATTTTTGAAGGGCTGTCAGGGCAATTTGAGCGGATCTTTTTAAAGGCTATACCTGAAGGAGCATTAGGATAATAAGAGTAGATTTTTAAGGATACGTTTTTAATGTCTGTCATTTCTACTATTTTTCAAGGACTATCAGTACAAAGTGGGTGTTCTTTTAATATTATTGTCCTGGGATTTTCAGGGCAATAAGCATTGATTTTTTAATCATGCGTTCGTAGAAATATCAGAGTTATGTTTCCAAGGTCCATCAGAGCAATAAACTATGGATAATTTTTTACGAAATATAAAACATGTTCAAGGACTTTCAGGGTAATACTAATATTTTTGGAGGTATGTAAGGGATAATATGCGAGGATTTTTGATAATATTTTTTTAAAGACCAGCAGAGCAATAATCCTTGGTGTTTTGAAGATAATGTTAACAGAGGTCGTACCTACACAATGTCACATATGTATATACACATAATTCCATATCCTTGTCGGCTACAACCAACACAATATCCTTGTTCTTGCTCGGTGTGTGTGTGGCCGAACATAAAAAATACCATTCAATAAAAAATTACAATCCACGCTTAGTTGAGTAATTTTTCAATTGGTGAATAATTGACGCTTGAACAAGTGTTTATTAGTAAAGTAACACACTCCGACGCACGTAGTCATAGGACATACAATGTCACACATTTCTACATATGTATGTACTCCGATAGGTGGTAATGGTTAGATGCACTTTTATTGTTCAATTGTATTGCTTTGTGTGTGCTTATTTTTGGAGGTGTGAAAAACATCCTTGTATTACACTCATATTCAGGATATGCTCCATTTCTTTTAATTTCAACTTCGTTTGATGGTTGACTTTTTTTCTGTTTGATTTTTTTTATTTATTTTATTTTTATTTTTTATTTTTCTTTTTTTGTTCTCACTTTGAGTTATCAATGAAGAAAGTAATGCAAGAGTCATGACAGGTCCCCGTGTATGAGAATTCATTGTTTTCGTCGTCGTATTGGCATTTGCAATGAGGCATAAAAAATGAAATGTATTGGAGGGACGGATGAATGGTCTTATGGCTGGCTGGTTAGATGATGTGTTGGTGGCAATAAATTTTTTACTCATACATCAGCGTATATGTAAGTAGGGAGGATGATGAAGGATCGTCATTGTCGTCGTCATCGCCTTCATCAACGGCAACCTTTTCACATTGACAAGGATAGTGATGACAACAATACTGAAGGTAATGACTCTAACGCTGTGGATGATGATGATGACTGTGGTTGTTTGTGGTAGTGATGACATTGGTGATATGTGTGGTTTTGTATTTTTTACCATCAGTATGTGAATGAAGTGTGTGTATTTCTATGACTGTGGGATTTTTTATGTAAATCAGTGATTTTTTCGTTACAAAAATATGAATCTGAAAATACTGTTTTATTGTTGTTGCTATTTGTGTGGATTGGTTTACTTAATTGTCGTTGGCAATATGGTAATTTAACCACAGATTGAGTATAAGGTTTTGTGTGACCAATAAAACTAATGAGTGGTAGCAATTTCTGAAGGTAATATATTTAATTTTTAAAAAATGAAGAGGGTTGACACAAATGTTTGTAATATCGTCTTGTATTGTATCGATTGTCATTGGAAAAATTGTTGCAAATTTTCTCGACCCTAATTGGAGATATTTACTGGGTTCTTTTGAATTTATTTAAGAATTCATTTGAATCTATGAACTTCGAATGCAATTCCTCGTGAATACAGCGTCATTGGTGACCGATGATATCAGTAAAATTCATGATTTGTTTTTGATTGATTTCACCTTTTTGATTCCCATTCGGACGATTTACTTTATATGGGTCTAAATCGTCATCACTCTTCCTAATCGAGATCTTTGACATTACAGGTATACTTTTATAGTTTCCCATATGATCCGTGGTTGACGGCGTCCTATTTGAGAACCCACAGAAGAACTACAAGAATCGGCAGGTCATTTGCATTTCGAAAATGATGTAATTTTTTTTTTTTTTTTTTTTTGTAAGAGAACATTTATCATTTTTTCGCAAATTTTTCTTACTAAAATGATCTATATCGATCCAAGATCAGAGGATGAATTTAGACAGGTTTTTCGAATGTTGCTCTAATTTGATATTTAAAGTTCTCATGGGGTGACAAATTTTCCTACCTAAAAAACTATCCCATTCTCCCACATAAAAGACTATCCCATTGTCAGCCCACATTCCATTTTTTTTAAATTAATATGTCGTAAAGAAGGAAATTCTTTATACTCTCACCATGAGTGGATCTTTAGCTCCTACATACCGAAAATTCGTTATTCAACCAAATTTTCTGTAATTTTATTTTTTTTGGTTGGTTCATAGCTATGAACGTCGAATTTTATAAAGGAGTATCGGATTATCCGAACTATGAGCGTAGATTTTTAAAAGAGTTTTTATCAAGGACTACAGGACTA